ATCCAATGAGACAAGCGCAACGTAGACGGAACAGCACCTTATTGGCTGGGCGGCTGAAGTGCGAAGACTTCTCTCACCGTTGAGAGGAAGCCCCAGGCACCCTACGTTCATCTAACGGGGTTGTTTTTTCAACTGGTAAACTACCACTAACCGTGTTTATTTGCTGGAGTGACCTCTCCAGGGGCGGGTGTGGATAGAAAGAAGAAATCCGGGAGGTGCCCAAGCAGCTGGCTTTGTCAGACTGAGCTTCGTCTGGCCTCTACCCGTTGACCTTTCAGGCATGATTGGATCCACGGCTGTGAGAAGCCATCCTGAGTTGTCAGCTCGCATACAGAAGGCTAGGTTGGCATTTGCCAACTTGAGACGTTTGTGGTGCCGTTGCGACATCCGGCCGTGTGAAGAGTCGAGTGTATGCTCTAGCAGTTCGGCCAGTTCTACTATATGGCGCAGAAACCTGGCCATTAAGAAATCAGGATAAAGATAGACTGTCGGTCTTTGAACACCGCTGTCTACACAGCATTGCACGAATCTGGTGGAGGAGCCGGACGAGAAATGCCAACGTAAGGAGAGGAGTTTTAGGCAACCGCGGTTGCCCGCTGGAGTAAGTGGTCGATCGCCATAGATCACGGTGATTGGGGCATGTGTTAGGCATGTCACCAAATAGGTTACCACCACCACGGTGAGTGATGTTCGCCGAGGCAGATAGTAGGTGGAAAAGGCCCTAGGTGGTCAAGCTAAGACCTGGCATGATCGAATGAAAACCCTAACCAGGAGTCTGGGTCACATAGGTCACCTTACGCTCCGTGGATGGGGACCTCGTGATGATCGTGACCGACGGTTAGAGACACTGAGTGATATGGCTGGGAGTCGTAAACAGTGGCTTTCGTGCATCTTCTCAATTTCTTTGCATCATTAGTCCACTGAACTTCTCAATTTTCTCTTCGATCCTACTTTCAACCTTCCTATTTTCCTCCTATTGTTCATCCAAATGGGCAGCCAAAAGACAACCAAGAGCGACGCACGGAGGAGCATGCTTGATGGTTGTACAAACTGAGTTGAACTGGATAAAATGCTAGTAGAAGTGTTATCTATAGGACCACAGTTTTGTTGCGGAATAGAGGATCAAACAAGTTGAAATTCGAAAACCTATTTGCACAACATTCTCATCTGGTTCCCCCTTCGTCAGTGAAGTTCGTAAGGCTCAAATCTACCTTAGTGAACGCTGTCCACCAGCCTCAGAATGTCAAGCTAAATAAAAATGAACTAGTGCCTACAGAACGCATCAGACGATTAGGAGAACTTTGGAAAAATAAAGATATAACATCATCCAAACCGGATAAGAGGACACAGATCGTGCTGCTGTATCGAATGGACTACATGGACAAGATCAATACCATATCAAGTGATCGGTCGAAATCCACCAAGTTGACGGTTAAGGATGAGACGCCCAAATAGAGGGGGTGCTCTCTAAGATTTTGCGATGCTTAAGACAGAGAGGAGTCACTGATGCGTCCATTTCGAACGTAATCGGCCAACCGGGACGGTTATTTCAAGGCTGCCAAAAATACACAAAGATGGAGTACTATTACGACCGATTTTGGGTATGCATAACTCGCCATATCATCAAAGTGGTTTGCCAAATTATTAGGATCCGTTTGATTCAAGTTGGCAATACACAGTATCAAAGACACATTTGCTTTCGTGAAAAAGATTCGTGACAAATTTGGTTGATTGAAAAATGCTGTCGCTGGACGTCAACTCGTTGTTCACAAATGTTCCCACCAGCGAAACGATTGAATACCGGTGCAACTATGTACGAATCGATAATGTAGAGCTGGACTTCTTTTTCAATGACTTAAAACAACCACTTTATTTCTGCACCAAGTTTAACGATGAGATCTACCGACAAAAGCATGGCGTGACCGTGGTGTCTCTGCTGGGACTGTGTACCATACACGCGGCACGTAGACGATAACTATTGTGTGATCAACGTAACATCGAAAGCAACGGAACTATTAAACAGATGTAACACTGCATATCCTAGCATAACATTTACTTAGGAAATGGAGTGTAACAACCAACTGCCGTTTCTAGATGTTTGCATCACCCGTCAATCAGATGGTTCGGTACAGCATAGAGAAGCAACTTGTAAAGACCAATACATCCATTTCCGAAGCTTTGTGCCACTTAAGGTTAAAAGGAACCCGGTTCAATGTCTAACGGACAGGGCAAGAAGGTTTGCAGTGAGGACACGGTAGATGAGCTCCGTACTGAAAAATTAATCTTGGCACGTAACGGGTATCTGGAGCGTTTAGTCAATAAAATGATTCAGTGCACAGAAAATCATTTACAAAACACTGAGGTTGAGAAAAACTCCGTGTACATTTCTTTGCCGTTCAAAAGACCCACATCAACTGAGATCATACAAAGAAGATTATCCGACGCAATCAATATGACTTTCTATGCATCCAAGCTTCTTGTGTTGTTCACGTCAAAGCCAATTGTGTGTTTGCGACTAAAGGACAAAGTTTCAGACTCTGTGGTCTCATTCTATGTATACTCATTTACTTGCCCCTGTGCAACCTCGTACATAGGCTGCACGGTCAGGCAATTGTCCGAGCGGATTCGTAAACAATACCCTGCGTCGCTGAACACTGGAACGATAAAGTCACTTACCAGTGCAGTGGTTTCACACCTACCTGAAACAAATCACACTGTGAACGTGGCCGAGGCTTTCCGCCCCTTGTAGGCGATTATTGAGGCAGGTTCGCTGTCGGATGCTGGTCACAGAAGAAGCGGTGTATATTCTGCTGCACAACCCCCTCTGTGTGCTCAAAAGCAATTTGTGCACGCGCGGAAGTTCTCCTGGTTCGCCACATACAAACACCGTATAGCGAGTAATCTCGGTGATCGCATGAGCAGACAAAGAAATATGTGAACAACACGAGTAGCGAACAGGCTCGTTTTCGATAACTTCTTCCTCTGGCTAACACAGTTCTGTACATGAAGTGAACAAATGAGCAACAAATAATGCCAGAATGAATATACTGTTAACCCGTGGTTTAGAATAGGGAATCGGAAAACAAAGATTCCCTATTCTAAACCATGGATTAAAACTTTGATTTTACGTCCTTCCCAAACACTCCTCGCCACTTCTATACCGTCTTATTAACGCACATTCATTCTGACATTATCTGTTGCACATTAGTTCACTACATATACTAACTGTATTAGCCAAAGGAAGAAGTTATCGAAAGCGGGCTGGTTTCGCTACTCGTGCTGTTCTGTCCCTGTCACGATAGGGATTTTCAGTGGAATATGTGAACGTGTTGAAACCGATTTCCGTTCTCATGATGAGATCGTTTCTAGTATTCAATGATTTTGTTTCATTTTCTCAAGACAATTTTGCCGCAGTAGTGATATATTCTGAGATTCATTGGCACGAATACGAACATCTGAAAACGAGTTTCTTCGCCACAAATGCAAACGGTGAAAGGGCTGAGACGGACGAAAACACATCATTCTAACTGGGGAAAGGGTATTAGTGAGCAAACAGGTTTTAGTACTCCGCAGCTACACATAAACCCAAGCGGGTGGAAAGCACTAACCAAGTAAAACTTCTCAGCTGGAATTCACATGACCACCACGCTGATTGATGGTTGTGTAAGGTTAACGGCCCTGCTCACATATTTATTCACCCTTCCAAAGCATTCATAGTTGTTCTCAAACTTATTCCTTCATCTTCTTCGGAGATTCATTAATGATAATGCAATCAACAAAGATGATATTTGGAAAATCATAAACTGAGTGTGGGATTAAATTGCGTACCACAATGCACAGCCAGAAACTATGCTTTCTAAAGAAGAGGCACAAAGAAACAAGCAGGTGCGGCGATCGTGTGTCCGATGAAACGATAAAACGGGATAAAAGTGATCACAACTACAGGTAGATTGTGTGTACGTACTTTTCAACAAGGATTTTCACGACTTCGGCCTCCTTCAGGTTGTAGCAGGACATGTCCTCTGCCGNTATGCCTTCTTCGCCTTGTACGACATAGAAAAATGTTGGCTTTCTCGCATCAGGCCAGGGAAATCGTGAACAAGCTTCACGATCTAAAGCAAACACACCGTTTTTGATCCGATTGTTGTAGAACACTCGATTGGAGAATTTAGGCAGTTCGGGATGCATACGATATTGGCGCTGTGAGAAACGAATTATGCAATGAAAACACAGTGGATCCATAACGTGGCGGACGCACATGCAAGTTACTTACTCCACGGAACTCAGTTTAACGAGGTCAGAGACAAATATAAAGACCAATGCCGACACTAAAGAGACAGAAACCGATAAACAATGTAGTACAAAAATATGCTAATTCACAGACGATTTCCAAGCCCAAAATGTTGCACGAAGGAAATTTACTAGGTATCCATTGCTATATAATGGACAAAAACAAAAAGTTGATTTCAGTGTTCCGTATCTATCAAACGTCTAGAAATACGACGATATGTACTTTGTCATTATGCTTGATCCGATGGGCACAGGTTTGATCAATAGTAGTACAGTGCTAGTAGAACGGAAGGTGGGTAGCGTTGCCATGGCATTTCGCGGCCGAATAAACAGTCTTATCTCTCCCACGTTGACTAGGTGATTCGATAAAACCGGAACACATGGCTGAGTGTACGTATAGGATTTTCCGCTGCGATTCAGTTGCACTTTTACCCGACGAAACCGCGGCAAACGGCAATGGGTGATTTCACAAACCCGTCCATACGCCACCCTCCTGAATCGCTTGTGTTTGTGGTAGGTTGGGTCGACCGCCTTGTGTGCCCCCAAAGCTACCAGATCTGAATACAATGGAATGTCTTTTGAAAATGTCCCTGAAACAAGATTTGCCACAATCACTAAGACGACAGCAACCAATGAAAAGTGATTGGCTCGAATGCCAGTTGAATCGGTCAGGAACGGTTCAGATTCCATTCGTGCGCAATTGATAATATCAGTAAATTTTATTGTTGGTACCGGGTGGTGCTTTAGTTCAGTTCAATTTGAACAACTGTGACCATGCACTTTCGTGCGGTGGTTTTGGTGGCTGTCTCTTGGTTGCCTCTTGGCTGTCCATTGGGATGAAAAGGGGAAGGGGGAAGTTGGAATGTTGAAAGCAGTGTCGAGATGAAATTAGACAACACAGATAGACCAGGACTATATTAAGACGATGAGGAGATGTACGAGTGCCACTATTTACGACATAACCGTCGGTGTTCTCAACCTTCGGTTGTTGTTGGTGCTCACCTCCAATCGGACAAGCGGCGTGCCAATTATTTGAAGGCGTTCAAAAAGGCTCAAATCATATCCTGCATCTAGCGCTTGTTGACACTGAACCATCGGACCCAACTGGCATTGATCACCAACGAGAACCAAACGCGAAGGATCTCGACCGATAGGAACCAAACACTCAGGTTCCACCGCTTGACCGCACTCGTCGATTAGCATACCCGTGAAGGACAATGAATTCAGCCGGTGATCAGCGGCCGTGATGCAAGTACAGCAGATAACATCGGCATTCGACAAAACTGAAACTGAGAATGAAAATTTCGAGAAATGTTAGTTTCAGGCAGCTGTATCTCAATAGGAAAAGATCTTTGAGTCGCATAGGGAATCGAATGAGACAACAAACATTTCTGTAGGCTAGGTTTGAAATGGGCCTTAATCGTTGTAATCAGATCAGATTCCAGGCAAACATATTGTCGAGTTTCATTCTCAAGCAGCCACATTCACATTAGGATAAGAAAAAATTAGAGGGTAATGTAGTGAAGTCAAACGGTACAGCTCAGTTGATGTCTTGGTCGAAACCTAGATCAGTGATCTCTAAACAACGATAAAACGAGAAAGCAAGCTGATCAATCAAACTGCCTGATCGTGGTCTAAAATCTCTGCTATCTCGTTTGCATATGTAGCATAGTAGCGCGATTACGAGTCGCATAAATCTCTCACTTGAACTTTGGGTCATACTGGTTTGTTTTTTGCACTTTACAGTTTGATTTCAAAGGCCTATGCAAGGCCACGAGTACACTGTTCCTCTGTGGTCCCCAGAAAACAAAGGAACATTAGTGACAGGTCGTATCAGAGTGCGTGAAACAAGTGCCCAACATTGACGATTGGTTTCTGGTAGCTGTGTATCTTGTGGCTGAGTGGGGAGACAAGTTTAGGTGTATCAGCATATTTCCGGCCCCCAAAAAGTTGCTTTATAAAAACGCTCCAATCGAAAGATATTTTACTACTGGTTCGAGGTCCTAAAGATGCCCCCAAACCTCTGATTCACACAAACGAGAAAAATCGCGCATAATCCTAACTGATTGCTTCGTACCATGACCATAGTTACGAAAGCCGAACCAAATGTTTCCGGGCCTCTCCGTCTATCAACACGATCGGTTACGCAGCAAAACGCTTGTTAGATAGGGAGTTTATTATTACCTAGCGGAACCATCTGTGTAAGCACCGAAATCGTCCGCAATGCGTGGTACACCATCGAAAAGGAGTCACAGATATTTTATTCAGATACTAATAGTCAACACCTTGCAAGCGCGCCCTAGTTTCATTATATTCGACGGTACCGAAGTTTTCGATAGTTCCTTACATGATCCCAGCAATATTTACCGGGATCGAGGTCCGGCGACGTAAAAAACTACGTAAACACTAAACATCTAATTTGCCGTCTTGACAGTGTTGTGTAGAAGACTGGTCTTCTTGGAAGATGCTTATCTGCTCACAACCCGAACGATCACATAGTGCTACGTTGCGTTGAGACCAATAGGCGTACGCTAATCGATTCCGACAGGCAGCGAACACAACAAAGCAAGAACCATAACGAGACGTGAACTTAACACTAGATGACTTAGAGACCCCGAAATCTGGTCGTCTCAACGCACATCAGAGATGGGATGCGTCAACGTCATGGGAAATTCCCACAACCTGTCCCATCTCATCAGGGGCAGCGGTAACAAAACTTTGGGTGTGAATGAAGCTGAAGGCTCGCCAAACCACAAAACGAGTCATTAGATGCACGCCGAGTGGAGCAATTTGAGGCACGGTTCATCTTCCCATCAGCGTCAGCTTCTTCCACAGCTATTCAGGCACACATCCTGTGATACGTCATGACAACCCCACCCGAGCCAGGTATTCAAAACAGATACAAGCGGTGATATGAGTGATATGGCTGGTTGTCGCAAACAGTGGCGCTCGTGCATCCACTCGTTATTCTCCCAACACACTCTATATGTATTCCCCATCTTCCGCTTGAATTTGTTTCGACATTCCAATCTTCATTTCGCTATTTTATCCAAATGAGCAACCAAAAGACAGCAAACAAAACCCGCGCACGAAAGTGCATGGTTAATGGTTGTAAAACTGAAACTGAAACAAGCGGTGCGGTGCCAAAAAGAGCTGGGCGCTGATGAAACGCAGCAAGGTCTGTTTCCCAAGGTTTAAAACACTAAAAAGGTGCGCCCCAAAGGGAGTGAATCGATTATCGTTCCCGTCTCTAAGAGGGGCACGTGCAACGCATGCGCCAAACACGAAGCGATGTAAAACATTTGCGGTTTGAACGGTAATATCCCTCCAAAAGCCTCAGTATGGTCGGGGGTTGGTATCAAGGGTTATGGCTGTCCGCCCTTTACTTCCACCTTGCGAAATGCTCCCATACGACCAAGCGTCTAAAATAGCCTCTACTGAGAAAGCCCCGCTCACTGCCTTCTCGTGGCGGTGTTTCCCATCAAAGTGAGAGGACGAAAAGCCAATATCCGGAGCTATAGCCGGGTTGGTGAACCACTGGCAGTTCGCCTAGGGCAGTTGGCCCAAAATCCTGATTCCATACCAACCAAGAGGAGGCGTACGAACCAAATCCACACCTTTCCGGTTGTGGCAATGGTCATCGGCTCGATTGGACATCGAGGTGTACTGGGCACCTTGGACGTTTGACACCGTCCGAAAGGCGTATGATCCGATGAACTGGACACCGGCCCCCAATGGATTGCGGCTTTCACACCGCTCCGCTGCTTTGTGGGTCAGGCTTTGGCTAACCGAAGGCTCCGGCTGTGGATTCCCCAAGAAAATTCACCTGCTTTGGCCTAGGCGACCTGGCAGTATGCGACACACTTGCAAATCGTGGAGCGTTTTCCTTTTATAAAGGTTATTGTACCACGATTTGTTTGCCACAGTCTTTGAATCATAGCATTGATTCTTCAAAGGATTGGCTCTGAAAAAGCTGTCTATCTAAACGTCACCCCGTGATGCGAACAAGGTTGTTGTCGAAAATATACTTCCTGGGTACAAGTATATGAATGAACTGACAGAAGATTACCGGATACGCATGCCTGACGAGCGGCAAGGATCGCGAAACCGGTCGTGTGCTTCCAGGGAAATTTTGTCCAGTCATTCACATTACTAATTATGATGAAATACCCAAGTGTAAGCACGCGGTTTTGGTTTAGTCCGACCAAATTAATAGGTGCCAGAGTTTGAACTGAATGGTTACGCGATCCGCAGTCGGCGGGCCTAAAGCGATACGAATGACCAAAACCTTCGGATAAGATCATAATTTCCCCAAGTAAATTCATGTTCTAATTATTAATTTCATTTCGGAAGCTCTTTGGAGATGATAGGTTGTATTATCAAGATCACGCAGTGTCATATGAATTTTGGACTGAAGACATCCCAAGTGTCCCCATGGCCCCATTCAGGAGTGTACTTCAAACCACTGCACAGACAGTTTCAGACTTAAAGTGAGCAGTCTGTTGGTTATTGATTGTCGCTTGTCAATTTTTCGACGGCAGTTCCATTTTTCATGGACCTTTCCCAGTTGTTTACGACACTACAATTTGTGCATCAGACTGAAAATTCTTTTCTTGGTTTACCTCAAATGTTTCTGAAAATCGCCAATTTACCTACTCCAAACGTCTAAAACCTTCCATTATTTAGGTACCGAAACACCAAAATGTATTCAATGCGAATGTGACCGCATGCACATTTCCTAGATTGGATTGTCTAAACTGAGTTTTGCTTCTGTCAACATATTGACCGAGGCCATATACACGTGACACAAAGCGTATCATATTGATATAACATTTTGAGAAGAAGCATATATAACATGGGCACCAAGCTCACCTTCTGAGAAACGTTTGTAATTTATATACATCACTTTATTCTTCCTCCTACAAAAATTGTATTCTGCTTTTTTTT